CAGGGTGTTAGGTAAATGGATTTATAAGTCAACACTAGCCCATGTTAATATTTATGCATGAAAATAGTATGGTGAAGTCAGTGAATATCATTTTATTTTTATTATCATTCAAAATAAATATCATGATAACAATTTTCAGACTTCACCATTGTAAGCATTTTTACTGTGAAACAGATGTTAATTGGAAATTAAAATGTATATTGTTGTTTTAATAATTAAATGCGGGTAAGCGAAATAATAAGAAAAAAAAATTACAATCACAAAATACATTTACAAAACTAGATAGAAATTCAAGAAGGCAGATGTAATGAAAACAGGGTGCGCAGGTGGGCAGCCCTATCGCATGTTGTCAAACGGTGACGTACCGCGCGGCTGTTGACATTTATTTAAAAAATATGACCGAGTTGGAATACTGTATAGATAGTATTACCGTGGTTTTGTTTACATCTTTTGAAATGTCAGTCACAAACAGGAAGTAGAGGGGTGTGGCCTAAATAGCCATTGGTTGGACAAGTGTCATAATTTTTGAAACTTTAAGATCGGAACAGTTTTTGTTGATTGGTCATTTCAACCTGTTGAGAGACTTCTGTCGGCAAATAAGACCTTTTTAGGACTGTGGCAGGTCGGTGTGGTGAATATTTATTTTAGACGTATTGTTAGTCTGATTGTTGACGTTTTAAATTTAAATTACCATAGAAATAAAGGATGTATGATGCTGTGAAGACTGTTTAAAGCAAATGTGATATGGTACCTATATATGTATACATAATAAAATGGGTTAAAAATATAGGACGGTTCTGGTGATTAATTCTCATTAATTTATAGGTTATAGAGAATGTAATATAGAATGTATGATAAAATTGAAGTTAATAGTTTTAGTTGAAAAAAATTACCATGGATAGTTTCCAAAATAAGTGTCACCAAAATCAACAAATTATGGGTACTTCTAACGATTGAACAAAATGAAATTGTCGCCAACCCACAATATTACGGCTTGGAATTTAATTACAAACCTTATCAACAAATAGGAGAACAGTAAACAAGTTTCACAATACCAAAACGGCGTAAGTAACTCACCTTACTACAACTCCGAAACCATTTTGTTGAAACACACTAAAAACGCACTTGTACAACATCTAACGAAGTTAAACTTACACTATAACAGTTACTTTACACAACTTAAGTTCATAAAAACATAATTCAACGAGTAAAAACGATTTTAAAACATCATACGAAAGCGAAAAATTACTCTTCACTTCTTTAGACCAATCAATTATCCAAGTTGGTACTAGTGTGAAGCAAAGACACGGAAAAATACACAAATAACACTATCCCGATCAATTTTCTATACGCGCACTACATCCTTGTGCAGTGTAAATGATTTTAAAAGTGATTACAAAAGTTTCCTGTGCTGATTATCGAAGATATAAACAAAAATCGCAAATCTTAAATACTAACGCGACGTCCATTTATGTTCCAATGGAGTGATGCGACTGCCTACGAAATGTGCGAAGAAGACGAAAATATTTTTGATATGGCAACATTTTGTATAACCGTGCCATTTTCACTTGGGCAGCGTCATTATGTATGACACGGTCCGAATCAAACCCTTACCATCTCTTATGTCATTATTTTGACATTACTCATACATTCATTTGACGTTTATGCTGTCATTGATAGGAACTCGGACGGAGTTAAGCAGTTTTGTCTTTCGGAGTCCATAGCCTATTCAAATTGGTCGACTTATAAACAGATTTTCAAAAATCTTTTCCAGGCCTTAAAAAAATATTTCCTCAACACTAAGATGTTTCAAAAAAATGGAAATAATAGTAATTTTAATCCCAAAATTATCTGGCTCAACTTTTTTTTACTATTTTTCATTGAATGCAGTAACATTTTGTTGGGTGTGTGAGGAGCGTTCAGAGGAAGACAGTGTGAGCAAGCGGTAGTTATAGGTAGGTTGGGTGTCGAGTTGGCACTGTATTATTACCCAGTCGCGTTATCGTGTCCTGTGTTATCGGTAGTCGAGGTTACTTCTTTTGTTGTATCACCTTGTGTATCGTTTGTTCGACTCGAACGCTCGTTTAAAATTCATTTGCTTACGTAAATTGACCCGCGTTTTAATTTTATTCATTTTTAAGTGGATGGAAAACTAGTTACTAAGACGAGATTAGTTTGTTTTGTTTTTAGGTCAAATATATTTAACTCACAAGAGTCACAAAAAAGTTTTCGTTTTTAACAGTCTTAAAATGTAATTAATAACTAAGTAGGTAGGTACTCATGTTAAATTTTAACTGTAATGTGGCTAAGTGATTAACGTATTACGCAAGATAACCAGTTTGATTCCCGATTGGATCAACTTTTTCAACCTGTTTTACGAACTTTCTTTCCAGTGAACGAAATGTCGCGTTTTTATACGTTTGCAAATGGATTATTAAGTATTTCCATTTGAATTTAACTAGAACTAAAAGCTTCTTTGCAGGTAATTAATCGACACAACGGATTCGTTCCATATATAGAAGGCCGTTATTTATTATCATTGTTATTATTTTGATTGAGTTTATCTACTGGTAAAACCGGACTACCGAAACGGGTAAACCAATGGGAGGAATGAAACAAAAAAAAATACTTGTGTATTAAGTTTTATTGCATCATGACCAGAAATACTGTTTAAAAAATAATTATCAGTGGATTGCAATTTACATACCTATTATTGCTCCTTATTTTATATGACCTTAGTTCATACTCCAGAAACTTGTTTAACGTACTTATTTAGAGGTATTAAACTAAATTATTCCAACAAAAATTAATGCAAATCTATAGAAGGATGGTAACAAAAGAAAATCGATTGTTATGACCTAGAGAGAATAATCAATACTTTTGCTAAGGGGAGGGGCTACAGATTATTAGAAAGAGACATCGGCACTGCTATCAGATTACAACCAGCTTATAGTGGCGTTGTACAATAATCGATCAATATTCGCTCTGTTTGTATTATGTTTATGAGTTGTTTACAAAGTTCATACACCTCTGGCCGATAAGTACGGACGAACGCACATCAAACTAAATTACTTAGTAGGTACCTACTGCATCTATGTAAGTTTTAAAAGGTGCGATTATCGTATAGTCTAATGTGCTGGCGACTATATTGCCAGTTAAACTGAAGATGATCTCATACTAGTCCTTCATTCATCCTCTGATCCTCTCAAACAACTCAACAACTTTTATGCTACCTACTTGTAATGAGCTTCTGAAAGCTGGGGAAACACCAATACCTACAAATGACTATTTAGAAAAATAAAAAATAAATTCGATTCTATCTTACTCGTGAGACAATCGGCTACGAGATGGTGCAGAAACGTATTGCATACTTTTCTTGAGAAATATAGCAAACCTCTTATTAAAAAATTAAAAAACTCATTTCACATTTTTGAGAATTGTTTCTCTCTTAGGCTTATCGGCTATAGGCACTGTTAGACAGTCTTAGCAAGCAAAAATACCAAGCCAGGACATTAAAGTAAAAAACTGCCACGGCTACGTACTTAGGCAGTTGTACAAGGTATGGTAAGTAAGGTGAAGCGTGTGGCGACCACCTGCTCGACAGATGGACGACCTATCTGAAGTGTCTGGAATTTAAGGATGCATATACCTAAACAAAATTCTTCCATTAAAATTTGGTTCTTTCATGAATTTAATCAGCAGCGGAATGATGAGGATGGAATTTAACTTTCATTATTCATTCAAAATTAATCAGACGTGTGGTCAGACTCAGTTTAGTCTGCACTTGAAGTGAAGACTCGATTTGATGCGATGAAACTTGAATTTCACATTGTAATAATTATTATTTATGGTTTGATATTTCTTTTGAGGCTATAGATTTTTTGTATGTGAAAAATTGAAAATAAAACATATGCTTAAAATAAAGAATGTATTACTTAATTTTATTTTTATTTTAACAGTGAAAACACTAAAATTCGTAGTTTATTACCTGTTGAATTTTTATTCAGAATCAATATTATAAATAGAAAAAGCTAGTTTTTAGTTCCTTTATTAGCATATTATTATGTACTTAATTTAATTTGATAAAAATATTATTTTATACTTATCTTTACAAAACATTAACCCTCCTGGCGCAGTCGGGTAAAAACGCAGTGATCTTTGTACTCTGTGTGTGACGAAACAAAGGATATGATTTTTTTTTATATGGCAACATTAAAATGTCATTGACATTGAGTAATAGTGCAGTGCCAATTATAAAAATTGAATAAGATACTTTCAATTGAAAATGATTAATTGATTTTAAAAATAATGTAGCCAAATTTTAATTTGAATAAAAAGAATTTCACTTGAGTCTACGATTCTTATAGGAGGATCAAATGTTCCACACTAAAAAACCCATCCTATAAGGAACCTACCTGCCAAATTTCAAGTTTGTAGGTGTGAGTTAGTTTCTGAGATTTCGTGATGAGTGAGTCAGTCAGTGATCTTTCGCTTATATACATTATATAGATCTAGAGTGCTTTTAACTATGTGAAGCCTATCCGTGACAAATTAAAATATAAAACACGTAAGCATGCATCAGGTAGAATTTGTTTTAGTAATTATCGACTATTCAATTAACATACTTATTACGATTGAAAATTTTCAATTATATCATAGCACAGCACTAGTCTGTCAGCTGTTATTAAAAAAAACAGCACCAACAAACAACAGCAAATAGCGCCATCTGCAAGTTATATTGTTGAACACGAAGTAATCTTAGTTGTAAAATTAGGTGTACTAAATTTTTACAGTTTTATTCAACTTTAGCTATCGCAATAATTAATTTGTTTAAGACAAGACCATCAGGCTTTTAATTATTTAATTCGTGTTTAAAAGTTTTATTACTGATTCAACGTTTACGTTTTAAACTAATAGATGGCACTGTTTCGCTTTAATGTCAAAGTTGTCAATCAAATGCAATTTTAATCAATTTGTTTTTTTTTTGTTGTTGTTTAATTTTTGACACAAGAGGCGGGCGTGTGTTGTTGAAGTAATCTTTTTCAAATTAAATTAATTGCTCTTTTCAATGTCCTGAGTATTACCAATAAACAAGAATTCGTCAGTAATGAGTTAAAGTTAATCTCTATTTCTAGAGACGAACACTTTATTCCCAAAATGAGTAGGTGCGACTTTAAAATAGTTTTGCTCGGGAGCGAGCATGTAGGCAAAACTAGTTTAGTTTTAAGATTTGTGAACTGCAGATTTAACGGAGGCACTCCTTACCAAAACGTAAGTGTTCCTATTTCCTACTGATAAAAAAATCAAGGGCATTAAGACATTAGAGGTTAATGTTCTTTGTATCCATTTGCGCAGTAATTCCTAAAGCGTATGTAATTACAGGAGTATTCGCAAGCGATATTGACCTCTATCGCTTCCGTGGTTGATGAATCATTTTTGTATTCTATTACTTTGATTTTGTTAATATTGTTTAAGATAAAGAAAAGCATTATGTTGCTATAGCTCTAGCACTTAACTCAGTGCCTGAGGTAGAGGAGCAACATGGAACTGGTAATATTGACTTAATATTACGTGAAAGTGCATACAAATCTTGAAATCTGAAATTTCATTGATATTTGACATCTTAAAAACACCCGAACTCCTCCTTTGTTCTTCTGATTAATTTCGTTGCGGGTCCAACGACAGTTTAACTTTCCCCCGGGACAAACTTGACCTTCACTGGTTGGGTTATTGGCGGTCAAGCTGTGGATCCTGGCTACACAGGAGTTGCAGCGGTGAGAAAGAGAGGTGGGAATAGTCCCGTCTCAAAAACACCGACTGAGTTAACCGCTAGAATAAATAAATATTAGATTTCATATGAGAAATACATACAATGTCAATGTCATAGAGCCTTGTTTACAAAAACTTATATCTATATAAATAAAAATGAATTGCTGTTCGTTAGTCTGATTAAAACTCGAGAACGGCTGGACCGATTGAGCTGATTTTGGTTTTAAAATGTTTGTCGTAGTCCAGGGTAGGTCTAAACAGTGAGCAAATAAGGAAAAATTGCGATGGCTTATTTATTGCCTTTAAGGTGGAACAGAGTTCGCCGGGTCAGCTAGTAAATAAATATCAATTTGCACAAACAAGTTTTTATCTGTAAAAATGCTAGATTACGAGAAATATACATATAATTAAAACCTGATACTAGGTAAAACAATTTTATTCTACGCTTGGGTGTGTCAATATTAGAGGACGAATGACCTCATAATGTCAGGAAGGCACTCGATGCAGGCTGCTGCAACCAATCCTGAAATCAATAGGGAGGCCCATGTTCAGCAGCGTACGTCCTGTGGCTGAAATGATGATGATTATTATTGTTTCAGACGATCGGGGCAGCGTTCTGTGCAAAAACGATGCAGTCGAATGGGAAAGATTTCAACATTGGCATCTGGGACACAGCCGGCAGTGAACGGTAGGTTAAGTTTAATCCATCATGTAACGCATCCAGTGTGGCAATTCCTTCCAAGTGTGTAAGTCGTTTGAAGGCGTATTGCGAGAAACATCACTCATCGTGATTCACAATGATGACCACGACCACTCTGACAAGAGTGTACCAATTGAGAAGAAGAAGAAAGCGACACACATAACGTCGCTTGCCTCTCTAACTGACGTATCTGTAATTTTTTTCGAAACTGAGTTATCTATACCATCTTAATCAATTTTGCAAGACGAATCGATCTGTCTAATCGCCTGAAAATTTTGCAAAATGTCAGTTACGTCAGTTAGAGAGGCAAGCGACGATAATTTAATTATTACTGATGCAACGAATACGAATATTCGTATTCGCCGAATAGTAGACATTTACCGAATATTTGTATTCGGTGAGGTAATAATCACGAATACGAAGACCTATCAACTTTTTTAAATTTTGTCACGCACGTGTGTGTCTCCGAACACTATAGCCACAACGACACGACGGGAAAACCTCGGTCAGTATGTGCTGAATGTATTCTTAGAGCATTGGTTCCCCAACTTATTCGAGACGCACCCCCTTTCTACTATACAAAAAATGCCCCCCCTCCTCCAATCAAGATTATTTATTGGTCGTATCGAGCAGTCTGGACCATTCTCGCAGCGGTCGCAGGTTTTTTATACTTACGTACACCGATGGCCCCCGCCCCCCTTTAACCTCGTAAGACCGAAGAGCAAATTTTGTGGACTTCTAAGTATCGCCGAATGTGCTTTCAGAAGAACGAACAATTTGAAGTCGTAAACGCCGAGCACTTCGAGTAAAAAATTTTCTATGTTAGAGATTTTCTTTTGCACCCATATTTTCAGGGACCCTATATAATAGTGCATAGAGCTTATTTTAGGTAAAAAATAATAAAAAAATGTTTTCTCTTAAAAGAACATTCGGTATTACAGACTTTAAAAAGAAAAAGTAAATAAATTGTATTTTATACTTTAAAGTAAAACATAAATGTAACCTCCTTAATAAATTAATACTACATAAAGATACAATAATGATATAAATAAATGTAACTGAAAAGGCACAAGTATTTTAATTTTATTTAATGTTTCATTATTAGTACTTTTAAAAGTACTATCGGTTTTATAACATACAATAATGATAGGTTAGAATGTACAAGAAGTAAAGTGAATATTCATGTTAATTATAATATTTCTTAAACTAAAAATCAGAACGTTCTCATGGTAAATTTTCTCAATCATATCATAATTTTAAAAGTCCAATATTCAATCCATCTTAATAGAAAAAATATACAAAAATAAAACTTTCTCCATCAAGACCGAATGTTCCTTGCAAAGAACTATTATTTTCAAACGAAAAAAAATCTTACAAAACTTCTTCGAATTGGTAAAAATTTTTTTTTGCTTGTTTAGCAGTATTTTAACTTAAATTATACTGGTTAGTTTTCCAATAAAACTACGTTTACGTGAAGAAAAAAAATTAATTGTACATCACGTCCTCTCGAAAGAACCACCTTGTCAGAGAAAAATGATAATTTGACAGTGACATTTTGTTTTTTTTTACATTAATAAGTTCGGATACCTGATTTTTAATACTTTACGCCATAGACTATCACTCATTTTATTTAACAGGCGCGAATTTTTGAACTTAAAATTATCGCTAAAGTTTTAGTTCCTCTGAGGGCACATCCGGCGATACTTACAATTCACCTCCGAAAATGTCTCGGCGTTACTGACTACAAAGTTTCAGTTCCTTCTGAGGCACATCCGGGCTTACGAGGTTAAAGGTCTTTGCGCCATCCACTTTGGGAACCAATGTCTTAGACAGATTGGAATGGAATGAAAAAAACACTGTTCACTCATTGATTGATGTAATTTTTCCTGGATGATCGAATCAGAAATGAGGAGATCCGTAGGAGAACCAGAGTGACTGACATAGCCCGCAGAATCGCTAAAATCAAGTGGCAATGGCCAGGGCACATAGCTCGTAGAGCTGACGACCGCTGGGGCAGGAAAGTTCTTGAGTGGCGACCACGAGCCGGAAGACGTAGCGTAGGCAGGCCTCCCACTAGGTGGACCGACGATCTGGTGAAGGTCGCGGGAGGTGCCTGGATGCGGGCAGCGCAGGACCGCTCATTGTGGAAATCCTTGGGAGAGGCCTTTGTCCAGCAGTGGACGTCTTTCGGCTGAAACGAACGAACAAATATTTCCTTTCCAGGTACGAAGCGATGACGCGTATGTACTACCGAGGTGCGCACGCGGCGATAGTGTGCTATGAGCCTTCCTGCTTAGAATCCTGGGCACGACTAAGGCATTGGTTGCAGGAATTAAGGACTGTTGAGGAGGTAATCTTATCATCATCCTTAAACTATCAAGAAATGCTAAAGGTTCGGCCAAACGCGATGGCGATCAGATGTCGTGAATGGATTTGGCTGAAGCGTTAGTTATTTTGGTACCAAAATAATAAATAGACAGACCACTGGACAGATAACCTAAAGGTAGCGTTATTGATACGTTTAATTTAATTGCTAGTAACCTATAATTAACGGTAAACGAACTAAAGTCGCTGACACAGCCTGACGGATTAGCAAACTGAAGTGGCAATGGGCAGGGCACATAGTACACAGAGCTGACGGCCGATGGGGCAGCAAGGTTCTGGAGTGGAGGCCGCGTACCGGAAAACGCAGCGTGGGACGTCCACCCACAAGGTGGACGGACACGACATCATAAAGATAGCAGGAAGGCGCGGCCAATCTGGAAACCATTTGGGGACGCCTATGTTCAGCAGTGGGCGTCCTATGGCTGAAATGATGATGAATACTCATCATGCGCTGAATAGTGACTTGAGTTTCTTGCGCTGCTTCTTCTCAGCACTGGCCCATTTATTGTCCCGAAGCAGTGGTAGGGTTAATACTGGGAGTTTTTACGATTTTGGTTCCAAATAAACCAGTCTTTCCCAAAGTGGGCGATAACGCCCCCTTGTGGGCGCTGCAGGCTTAAAGGGGGGCGGTAAGAGACCCAGAAAAAAAATCGGGTCGTTGTGTAGAGGCTTGGGAGGCGTCATCTACTAGGAGGACTCTTAGACACCGACTGAGCTCGACTTGACTACAAAAATGGGGAGCGCTAAAAAATATTTTATTCTCAAAGTGGGCAGTAGACTAAATAGTTTGGGAACCGCTGAAATAAACCATTGTTTGCTTTCAAATAATGATGACTTTCTTCTTGCCCATTCCAGGAGTGCAAGGTCTACCTCTGCGGTACCAAGAAGGACCTCCTAGACTCAGGACTGGTCTCCAGGGAAGTGCCAGAGGATATAGTCGCCACTTACTCTCAAGGGCATAGAGGGCACTACTTGACCTCCAGTAAAACGGGGGAGAATGTTGGTAAGTAATACTTTAGCCAGCAAAACATCAGCCCATATGTTGTCCCGAAGTGGTGGTAGGGCAAGCTATTATTTGTATGAAAGACTAGCTGACCCGGCAAACTTTGTTCCGCCTTAATGGCAATAAATAAGCAGACTTTTTTTATTATTTCGAACGGGATAAAAAGTATCCTATGTCCTTCTCCTGGCTCTAAACTACCTCCCTGACAATTTTCAGCTAAATCGGTTCAGCCGTTCTTGAGTTATAAGTGGAGTAACTAACACGACTTTCTTTTATATATAGACTAGCTGACCCGGCGAACTTTGTTCCGCCTTAATGGCAATAAATAACGGGATAAAAAGTATCCTATGTCCTTCTCCTGGCTCTAAACTACCTCCCTGACAATTTTCAGCTAAATCGGTTCAGCCGTTCTTGAGTTATAAGTGGAGTAACTAAACTAACACGACTTTCTTTTGTTATATAGATTACGCGGTAATAAGCGGTTTACGATTTACGAGGTATTAAAAAAAACTACTGACTTAATTTTCGTTGGTAGTTTTTTTTATAGTAATGTACCTACATCATATGTTTCTTTTAGATTTTTCGTTTTCTTATTTTAGAAGTTAGAGGGGGGGGACCAACTTTTTACCACTTTGAAAGCGTCTGTCACGCAAACTATTCGGTTTAGAAAAAAATATAGATAAGATAAGATACCCCACACGTATGTTTGATGAAAAAAAAATGTTTGAGTTTCAGTTCTAAATTATGTGTACCTATCTTCTAAAATAATTTTTTTTGCATCAAAATCTTTATGCGGTTCACAGAATACATCTACCTACCAAGTTTCAACAGTATAGCTCTTATAGTTTCGGAAAAAAATGGCTGTGACATACGGACGGACAGACTGACAGACAGACATGATGACGAATCTATAAGGGTTCCGTTTTTTGCCATTAGGCTAAGGAACCCTCATTCCGTTTTTTGCCATTTGGCTATGGACCTTAACTTCGAACTCCTCCTATGTTCTTCTGATGAATTTCGTTGCGAGTCCAATATCAGTTAACTTTCCTTCGGGACAAACTTGACCTTCACTGGTTGGGTTTTATTGGCGGTCAAGCTGTAGATCCTGGCTACACAGGAGTTGTAGGTGGGAACGAGAGGTGGGAATAGTCCCGTCTAAACCTGGAGACTAAATGACCTTATGATGATGACATTTAGATGTTTAGTTTCTTTGGTTTAATACAATTTATTTTATTTTCCAGATGAGTTATTCCAAAAGATAGTAGACGATTGTGCCGCAGACATGCGATTAATGAAAAACGTAGAAGAATTACGACTCCAGCTGTTGAAGGATGAAGCGATATACAAGTCCAAGAGGAAAGAGTTTTGCTCGTGTTGATACTGCTTGATGGACGGACGACCTTTTTTTAACCACAACTGGTAAGCTGGCCTGCATCTCTCCAGAAGTCGTGATGGTCAGGTATAAAGATTTTTGCGTGTGTTAATACTGCCTGATGGACGGACGATCTTTTTTAATAACAACTGGAAAGCTGGCCAAAGCACGATCTCACGAGTTTATTTCATCCAGTCGCTAATAGCTATCTTACTGAGGTCATCGGTCCATCGAGCATTGCGTCCTCAAAATTAAATGCAGTAACTTACCACTCCGACTTAAATAAATATTGTTTTCAACGTCAACGTTAATTTGCTGGCAAAGTCTGTATTCTATGTCTGTCTTTTTTTCTCACTATACCCCATTGGTAGGTGTGAAAGAGACAAATATATGCGACTCAATAGGGATGATGATTGGGTAATGAAATCGAAATTCTATTTAGTCCGTCAGAAATATAATAAAAAAATTTTGGACACATTTTTTTTTTCATAATCGAATAGTTACAGTATTATATTGAGTTGAAATGTCGCGAGACGTCACTTTTGAGTAAAAAATCTACTCAAGCGTGACGTAACGCGCCATTTCAACTTGATGTAGCACTGTTATTATTTAAATATGAAAGAAAATAAAAAATATGAGTCTAATATTTTCTATTTATCTGTCTGACGGACAAAAATGAGCCTTATGAGACAATGCATGAGAGTTTTATTTACTTTGATCTCTCAGTTTGTTCTCAAAAGCTTCCAAAGTTGTATTTAATATTAGTCTGTCTCTATCTATCTTCAAACGAACTGCAGCGATAGCATATATTTAATGTGTTCCTAACCTAACCTTAACACCACGTGTTAAGGTTCAAAATATGGTGGTTAATATTTTCCACCTTGAAAAATAGTACCTTCTGTAATGTCATATCATTTTGCTTGTATGTGTGCTAAATAAATAAAAAGACTTAAAAAAGTATTTATACAGTGTCCGGGCATGTAGTGATCAAACTTTAAGGGCGTAATCTATGGACAATTTTATCGATGAAAATACTTCAAATGGCAATGCCAGATTTTGTATGGAAGGTGGCGTCTTTTTTTTCGCGCGGCCATCTACCAAACCTTGTTTTTTGATTACAAAATAGTGTAATAAACCAAACTTACTATGACATGTATACCTCTAAACTCAGTCTGAAGTCTGAACATTTTATGTGTAAACAAACAATACCATCCATTATAGGCTCCTGCCATCAGTGTGGAGCAGAATCAACGCAATAAAAAAAGACGGCACTATAAAGTTAAACCCTCTGTAATGATATAAAATACAGTGAGTAAACTTATTTTAAAAGGATGCCAACGATCCAACGATGCAAAATCAACTTAAAAGAAATACTATAATGCTTTCAATTTTAGGGAACAGTATGTTGAAATGTTTGTGTTTTGGACCTTATTGTTAGTGATTAAGGTTCAAATTATGGTGGCAGCATATTGAACAGAGCCATATAAATTAATTTTACCCTTTTGTAGTCTCGGGATCGATTTTTTGTAAAAATATATTGCTCTATAGTCTGGTCCGTGAGCATGTAGAATTTTGTCCAATGACCCCAAGCTACCCATCCTTATCGCTCGCGCGTAATTATGTTGCTATCGCGCTCGCACACTCACTGTGGGCGGCGCCCGTCGCACAGTCGCGACAGCAATAATATAATTACTTGCGAGCGATAAGGATGGGTAGCTGGGGTCATTGGACAAAATTCTACGTGCTCACAGACCGGGCTTTAGGTAAGAATCGGTTCTCATTTTAAAACACGCTGTATTGTTACATTTATATTTAAAGCTTTAATTATTGACTAATTTTAACCTTAAAAATAAGCTTGGACTGTAAACTTAGTTCTAAGTACAGATATGACTTAAAAAAACTTAATATAATATCTAAATGACCATGCATAAGATTATACAGGGTGTCGCCTTAAAATCATAATACACTTATCAACCCGGAAAGGGATCAACACCGTATCGCCTTTTGCCGTACGCTACGAGGTAGGGCATGTAATATCGGAAGGTTTTCAATTCCGATATTGGATTCCGATATTAGATCTCAATATCGGAATTCCGATATTAATATCGGAATTGAGTTCATGTGCTATAAAATTAATATTTGGTTATATTCGTAAGAATTATGGATTGTTTAAAATCAAAATCAAAATCAAAATCAAAAATATTTATTCAGTTTAGACCACAAGTGGCACTTATGAACGTCAATAGAAAATAATAAAAAAAGAAAAAGGTAGCCCTTATGGGGCACTTTACATGTCTCCTTATCTTTTGGGCCCTACCAGCCCTTTACAATAAAATAATGATTTTAATCAAAATCTTTAATTTGGTACAAAACAGCACTTCATAAAATTGAAGTATTTTATAACCATTTTTACGTTATGGGTATCCATTGCATTTGGTTTTTTATGTTACAAGAGGCAAACGAACAGACGGATCACCTGATAATGAATGGTTAATGGTTACTGATAATGAGCCTATAATGGACTAGCAAATAATTAAAGTGTTTTTGTAAAATCACAGGTATCAAACAAACTTTTACTCCTTCATTATATTACCCTGTTTAATGTTGGCGGAACGAATTTAAGAGTCATTCAAATCACGTGTTACAAAAACTTGAATATGCTTGTAATTCGTTCCTTTTTGATTATCGATGTACAACTTACAAAACCACGAGCCATCATCATCATCATGTCAGCCATAGGATGTCCACTGCTGAACACAGGCTCCGATGCAGATTTTCACAATGGCCGGTTGGTGGCGGCCTGCATCCAGCGCCTTCATACTACCTTTATGAGGTCGTCGGTCCACCTTGTGGTTATGAGTCCTACGCTGCGCTTTCCGGTACGTGGCCTCCACTTCAGAACCTTGCTGCCTCATCGTCCGTCTGTTTTGCGTACTAAGGCAGAACCGTTGGAAGACCTTATCACAATGCTCGAAGACCTTAATCGAGTTTCCCAACAGGTAGGCCTTCGGATGAATATGGAAAAAACGAAGCTTATGTCGAATGTCCATGTTGCTCCTTACCCAGTTTCGGTTAGGAGCTCGATTCTCGAGATTGTTGACAAGTAAGTATGTCTATCTCGGACAAACGATCAGCTAGGTAGTTAGATGCAATTTCGAGAAAGAGGTAAATCGTCGAATATGAAGACGAAAGTCTTCAATTATTGTGTGTTACCAGTGATGATATACGGCTCGAAATCGTGGCCTTTGAATATAGAGCACAACGTGCTATGGAGAGGGATAAGCTAGGTGTTTCTTTACGAGATCTAATCAGAAATGAGGAGCTCCGTAAACTAACTAAGGTCGCTCACATAGCCCGACGGATTAGCAAGCTGAAGTGGCAATGGGCAGGGCACATAGTACGCAGAACTGACGGTCCATAGTCCAGTAAAATTAATGTTTGAAAGGGAGTCGAGCGAGATGTCGTTCTTTGTTGCCCAAGTACATATGGCAAATGCTAAAATTGATTTAGAACAAGTTAAATTAACCATAAATAGTAGAAAGATATTAAAATATTTGGAGTGGAACAAAAAGTGATAAACATGACAAAATCATTGGTCTTTGCCAATCATGTACTTTGGGCTTTGTGGCAGGTTGTGGCGAGTTTAAACGCTTTGTTTAAAATCTCAATTAAAACTTTTATCTGATTCCGATATTACGATATTGGGTCGCTCAATATCGGAATTGAAATATCGGATCTCGCAGTCCGAGATTCCGATATTACGAGATTCCGAGATTCCGATATTCATGCCCTACTACGAGGCGAGGCGTTTACGTTACGGTGACGTCACAAAGTGTTACACTTTTAAGCACTCCTTGACGTCACGGGCCTCTTATTTTGAACATTGCCGCGCGCTTTATGTCTAAATTTTCATTAGTTTGAAAAAGTGAAAAATACGTGTATTTTTTTAAGTTAACTGACGGACCAATTCAAACTCTTGCTTTCTTACCTAGAAAACAACTCTATTTGGATATTGTTTCTATAGGAAAGTTTGATCCATGCTTAAAGCGACACCCTGTATACACAGTCCAACCCGTCTGGCCAGCGTGGGGAGTGTAGGCCAAATCCTCCATTTGCCTCTGGTACATTAGAGAGCCCTGCTCTTGCAGTGGAGACTAAATGAACTGATGATGATGATGATTACGTTAGTAATGTATTAATAGGCGGGGGAGGGGATTCTTTGCATGGTCCTTTAGTAATAAGTATGCCTTAATTTTGTTGTTAGTTATTGTGATGTGTACTCGCTTTAAATTGTCTATGTATCCTCTGATTGACAGCTGTATTTATATTTTTATTTAATGGTTTAGTTTTAGGTTTAGTTAAAGCCTTTTGCCTCATAAATAGTGACGAACAAACGAATTTAACCCTATAAAGCAGTGTTTTTCAACCTTTTTCATGATACGACCCCCATAGCATGAAAAATTTTTTTTTTCGTATTAACCCTTCATTTGGCAGTGATGCTTATAAGCAACAACCACTTTGAATATTTATGCAGCACCAAATAATAAGTTTTGTGCAAATCATTCGATTTTGTTACGAAGCTTAGTTCAGCAAAACACTAGTAAATCGGTCGTCGACTGAGTTTTGAGTGATTTCATATTCATATTTCTGTCAGACGCCAAGATGACGCGCAATGAGAATAACAAAGACGGAAGTTTTATGATTTTAAACTTTAATATCATCTGTAATTGTTTTTGTTTTGTCTAAATTTTATTCATAATAAATCAAACTAATCATATAAAGCAATATTTGGCGTAGAAACTGTGTTTTCTAATATTATGACATGCTTCCGAACCTCGATGTTGCCTAGAAGCATCAGTGCCAAACATCTAACAAAATAGGTTTATCTTTTTGTTAATACAAAAGAGTGTNTATTTAATAAACATGGCTGTCAAATTTACAATCCATGCAATAAGTTAGTTGCAAAGGCTGATCTAATTAATGAGAAATATCGATTAATTACTTGTAAAAATCAAGAAATGCACGTAAAGATGGCCAAGACTGATGATGATATTTACCCGTGGCACCAAAGAATGGGTTACTTGAATTTCACTTCACTTAATAAAGTACCGATCTGTACAGAAGGAGTAAAGTTGTCACCGAGTAAAGAAAATGTCATTTGTGTGACATGTGAAACAACAAGAAAACCATTCCCCACTGAAGGCTCCCGTGCAACGAACTTGCTAGAGCCAGCCCTTAGTGACGAATGTGGACCGATGAAGCAAGGTTACCGCCAAAGAAGTCGTGGTTCAATACAGATGCACTGGAGATATGGTCGCCGACATCTTGACAAAAGGACTCCATCGCCCCAAGCATGAAATCTTTGCTGCGTCAATGGGTCTACTTTTAAAACATCTGCGTCCAGGAGAGGATGTTGGATTTATGGACGCATAAGAGAAACTCCTTACTAATATTGTCTATGGGCACTCTCGTCCTTGTCGCGTTGAC